GGATACTGGGAAAATAGGAAAGGTGTGTATCTTCTTGTATAAGAGACAGCCAAATATGGGTTACCCACCTACATACATATGAGCACTCCACTCTTTCACTCTGTTCATGCTGTTTCCAGGAAAACCTATCTAGGACTCTGTATCTGTAGTCCCTATTGAATGTATACAAATAGCAAAAAGCCCTATGCCAGATTATAAAACCATTGTGATTTGCAGGGCCAGACCTACACATGAGTACTCAAATTTCCAAATCTACACAATTAAGATATATAGATCCCTATTCATTTGTTACTCATTTGCAATTTGTATCTTAAATTGTAGAATCTTAAATATATTCGGTAGAGACAATATTGGTCTAATTTAAAACTAATGGGGAAAAATTTTGGTTTCTTGTATTTGGACATTTTATTTTTCATTATTTTTCTGTGTGCTTTGATTACAAACTTCAATGTTAGATTTTTTTAATACTTGTGAGTTTTGTAATCTGTAATGGCTGTGGAGTTTTTCCAGGTGTATTTAATGGCATAATCTTATCTTGAACTGCATTTTGAAAGCTCAAATGTAGTTTAATTTGCTGGAAACAGGAGGAGGGAAGGAATGCTGTTCTTTCCTTAGGGAGACAGCAGTTTCTTGTGCAACATTAACTTAAAAGAATATGAGACACATATATGTTGCCAACAGGAATGTAGATGTATAAAGTTCTGAAAATAGTAAGTGTCAATAGGAAAGGGTTGCAGATGCCAGAAGAAAAATGTAAGCTCCCAAGCTCACTCTCTCTTTTTATTTTTCCCTTATCCAATGCCAAGGCTCATGTTTAAAATTCAGTTTTTCCCTAAAAAGTGATTATTAAATAAAAAGTCTGACTTCAGAACAGATGTTTTTCCTATGTGTATTCACAATTGTATTTATTTGTTTCTGTAACTCTGAATTGAATATTTTCACCTGTTAAACATGTGCAGCCAAAAGCAATGTGAGGGAGAAACCAAATTCAGGTTTTCACTGGGCATGAGCTGTGGAGCTGCTGTGCAGGGGCGGCTCTGCTGGAGGCTCATGGGCAGCAGGATCTCTATACCCGCTCCCCTTGGGAGCACAGCAGTTGTGCTCTGCAGCTCTTTCCCCTCTGCAAAACATTGGCCTAGAAATCTGTTACAGGGCATTAATCCACTTAACCTGCAATAGCAGCAAACGGAATAAATTATTACTTTTTCTATCTGTGTTAGGCACCAAGGACAAGTGTTCACTCTTCTTTATAGCAACCTTTTCATATAGTTGAGGACTGTTGTCATGTTTCCTGTGAATTTTTTCTGTCTTATACAAAACACAGCTAGATTCTTCTGCCTTTCTTCCCTTGAATCTTTTGGGGTTGGTTGGTTTGTTTTCATGTCTTTAAACTCATTGATTGCTGTGATTCTCAGCTTTAAGAGTGGGTGGCCCAGACTTGGCCATAGTACTCCAGAAGTGGACAGACTATTCCAGTTGAAGTCTTTCCAGAGGTGTGTTTGCTGGAGTGGAAGGGTATTATATCTAAGACATTTCCCTTATTTCCAAGAGCAATTGATTGCTGACATATTTGCTTTACGATCTGGACCATTTTCTACAGTACTGTTTAGCCAATTATTCCCCATTTTTTTTCTGTACTTTTGTCACTTCACTTTGTTGAATTTCATCTTCATTTCAGATAATTTCTCAAATCTATCAAAATAATTTTGAATTCCACTTCTGTTCTGCAAGGTATCTGCAGCCTTTAAAATGTGATTTCATGTACTGGCTTTTTTTGTCAGTCATTAAAAAAAATAAAGTAATTTGGAGAAAATGCCATAGTCTCAGTTGGCCTCATATTCCAGCTGTAAGATCTATCACAAGCAAGTGGAAAGGCCTCATTTAGCTTGCAGACTCTTAATCATGTAAGTGTGTAAGGTGTAAGAAGAACCCAGCTTGACTCTCAGATCACACAGTGCACATACGGGACTTTTAGATGGAGGGAAAAAAAGAACATCATTGTACTTTAAACCTGATTACCTTTGCCAAGAAACCAGAGTCAGGGAAAAATACTGAAACAGTAGGATTCCATTTACTTGGAGACCCTATTCAGAGTTGAGCCATGCTTCAAATTATAAATAATACCAGGGGTGGAGGGGATCAGAGGGAACAATGACAGTTGTGGAAGAAGTCATTTTGCTTCTTGGGTGTCTGGCCACAGCAGAATGGCATCTTCACTTCTGACCCAACTTGCTGTCTGTGTGTCCTCTTCTTTCCTGTGAGTATTCCTTAAGTTTATTTTAATAAAAAATATTTTTAGAGAATTATTTTTTTTGTTATGTTTAGGCCATTATTTCAGTGTTTGAGCATGTGAGTGCACTACGTGAAAGGGAGGTTGCCATGGTAATTTCTCATTATTGTTGAATAGAAAAATAATTACTCTGGCGAAATTCCCCATAACCTGTCAAAGCATAAGTTAAAGATGCCTGAGGGCAGTCTTGCCTTCACTATCCCCTTTTCGCAAAAAAAAAAAAAAAACAAAAACCAAACTGGATCCTATTTTGGTTTGGCTGGGGACATCTCCTCATTGGGTTTTGTTTACATGTGTCTTTGAGAGTAAGTGGGCCCACCTGTGACAAGGGTGGGGCAGAAAATTAATCAGCAGAGCATTTCAAAGGTTGACAGGATTTATATATTCTTTTTTAATGTCCAGTTTTCTTTCTGAGGGTGGGGTGCTGCATTTTATATTTTTCTTTCTTCCTCCTAAAATATGCAAAATCTTAAGATAAAGACTTTGGACCATGTTCAAACTGTGTGAGAGTCTGGATATTTCATCTAACCAGGGAGGGAATCCACAGTAATTCCATTTCCACATTCTTCTTGCTTTCAAGACTTCTTTCCAAGAAGTCTTGAAAGCACTTCTTCAGCATAAGTGCAGATATGTGTGGTTTTGAGGTGAGGCACTGCACTTTGCCTGCTCTTCTCTATCTTTCCCACGTGCAGTTAAGTCCTGGCTATGACATGCTCTCCTTTTTGTTCCCATGTCACTGGATGCTACAGGAGTAGCTCCAGTGATACTCAACTACTGCATTAACAAGAGCTGCAAATGTGGTGTGTGGCATTGTGCTGAATTTCTTCCCTCCACTCCTCCTTCCCTATGACAAGTATGTCCAAAAGGTTAAATGGTACTTCAGCCTCTCTTTAGTCAAATGGCAGAGTAGGAGCTCATAGCTACTTGTTGGACAATGCACTCTTGTATGGGCTTATAATGAACCCCCCCAGGCTGTGCTGAGTGCAGGGCCCTGTGCAAAGGTCTGTGGAACACCTGTGTGCATGTTCCATGCTTGCCACTGAGTGTTTCATGCTTACTGTTGTGGCTGCTTGGCTACTCAACACAGCAGTGTTTGCATGTGGGAGCACTCATCAGGTTTACACCAGGAAAGAACAACAACTCTCTGTGACAGCAGATTTCTGAGATGTGGGGACAGCTTTGATACCTCTTTGTGTGATTGAATGGCAGGGCTGTATGATCCTGTCACTGCCAGGTTGGATGAGCCTTGGCAGGGAAAATGTATTACAGGCTCTGACTCAGACAAGAAGTCTCTCTAGGGTCTCTGGAAAGAACCAGATTGTTAAAACCTGTCCTTACCATTTCTCCATTGGATGCTTGACAAAAAATCAAAGTGAAATTGAGATGGAGGAGGTATACCTTACTTAACATTTTGAGTGAAATCCAAAATTAACATCATCAGGAAATACAGCAACAGAACTAAAATCCCCAGATTGCTTTGCATGTGTACATAATGAATATGATAGATGCACATTTTCTTTCAAATTGGCATTTTATCTCAGGATTTTTTTCTTGTGAGGCAAATATTTGTTTGCTTCATCTCTGGCTTAAATCTACATTGCTCAGGCATTAAGAGGTGCTCAGACCTCACTGTGCTGTGTTAACCTGGCCTTGCTCACTGGACAGGAAGGTGCTGTGAGTGGAATAGAGTTACTTTGAGGAGTGCAGCCAGGGCATCTTCAGAAGTGTATTTCCAGCTTTGGTACTGACTTTGTGTGCTACAGGTCTTGGGGCCTCAGAGGAGCAGAAGAGACTGAACCAAAAATTTCTAATCCAGCTATTAAAAATATCCATAGTTTTTGAATGAAACATTTGGCGTTGCACAACTTCTGCAAAACCCTTGCAAGCTGAACCACTTGCTCAGGTGCTGGACATTGAGGATGGGTTCCTGTTGTTGATCATCCAGGTCTGAAAATGCCTGGTTCAATTGATAAAGTCAAGAAAGTATCTGTAGTGCTTGCTGTGTTGGTATGTGTTTTACATTGTTCACTATTTTAATAATTGCCCTGTTCCAGCCATGTATATTACTAAGTCTAAGTATGCACAAGTCATCAGCACAAGTAATCTTAAATTTTTTTTTTCACTTCTTGTATCATACATAAAAGTAAAGATTTCTCACAACAATTACATTTAAGTAACTAGCTGGTGTTTAATCAACCTGAAGTATTGTATTTATATTAAATGCATTGGAATAGAATGGCTATTATATTTAGTTTCTAAATTACTTTTTGGTCATCTTGTGCTGATGATGAGTTTATGTAGCATTATAGAATTAAGTACTGAAGGATTTTTCATTATCAGGACCAAGCATTTGAGACACACAGCCCAAAAAAGGAGGAAAAACTCATAATTGCTTTATTTGCAATTGATTTGTAAAACAATATCTAATATTTGGAAAAAATGTTATGGAAAAGAAAGTTTTTACCTATTTAGTATGCTATATAAAATGAAAGTTCATTATACAGTAAATTAAACACTTCAGGTTTTTTTCCTAAATTAGAACCAGAACTTTATCAAGGAAAAATTAATTTGAAATATCATATAGACATCTGTACCCCAAAACCATAGGTGAAGAAGCCAAACTAGGTGTGATCCTGTTGAATTTCTTTTACAACAGATGAACATATTTTCATTTTGCCTCCTGTTAAGTCAATGATCTGTTGCTTCCTAGGATAGTGACAACCTCTGGTGGGATGCCTTTGCAACTGAATTTTTTGAAGATGATGCAACCTTAACACTTTCATTTTGTTTGGAAGATGGACCAAAGCGATACAGTAAGAAATGTATATTTTTTGTTCTAATGTTAAATATGAGTTTCTAAAAACAGTTTATCTGTACAAGACAGATGCAACCCTGGCAATGACCAAGTCACTTGTGTATATTCAGTGACTATTAAGTTACATTGAAGAATTCCATTAATTGGAAATCCATTTTTTATAGAATTCCTCTGAGTTTCATTACATGAAAATAAATTATTTCCTAGTGGAATGAAGCAGATAATAAAATAAAATATTTTGATTTTTTTTTAATTAATGTGCTTTGTGGCTGTGCTTGCACCCTTTGGTGATTTGTCTTCTGCGAAAATTGAAGTGTTGAGTCTTGTGTGCAAAATTGTTCACAGAAAGGGAACTTTATAGCAAATATTAGTATTATTGGTGGAAGGGCTTCAAAAATTAAAGAGGGATCAGAAAAACAAAAACAAAAAATTCAAATCTATATCCTTGCTGATGTAGATAAGTATTATTCCATCAGCCGTGTGGACCTATGCTGCTTGCACACATTAAGAACCAGCCTTGGATGCTGTCTGAGCAGCAGTGGAAGTCTAGAATACTCTCAATTGAGCACTAAGTGAAACCTTGAATAAAAGTGAAGCAGTGAATAAATCTGATGCCTTTGGAATCCATTGCCTGCACACACTGAGCAGCAAAATGGGATAAAATTCATCGAACAAATTGTTTGAAGTGAATAATTCACTCAGCTTTAGCACCAAGCAACAGAGAGAGAAGTAAACATTGAAAAACTGCATTGCCAATTGTTTGACTCCATTCAGAATGACCCCTGCCTCATGGTGACAGATTGTGCTCTCTACGTAATGTTCTGAATCTTGTGAGGTTCTTCTTTTTCATGAGAGTGACTGTCAGCCTATCACTCACACACTTCTAATTCCTATTATCAATTATCTCAGGTATTTATTTGACAAGTGTTACCTTCTTCTGGAGAAAAATAACAACCACTTTAAATGCATGTTTCTGGGATTAGTGTTGACAGAATTACAGTTTCTTGCTTTTCAAAGCAAGTGATAACTCTCTAAAGGTCCTCAAATTACAGCCTATAGCAACATTGGTAACAGCTGATCTGTCCTGATTAGGTTGAGTCAACTTGTCAGATATCAGATTTGCTAGTTGTGTTATCAGTCCAGAAGGCACAGATACATCAGCAAAAAAGCAATTAATGTCCAGTTGGATCAGAGGGAGTTGTGATTCTAGAAAACAGAGCTGCATATGAAAGAATTTGTCAATGTGTAAAATAGTCCTGTTGTCACAAATGCTTGATAATGGTTGTATTGTCTGTAACTGGGACAGTTTGGCATGGGGTAATACTGTGATTCTTAGCATTGTTGCTGATAAGAATGATTGAAAAATCAAGTTACTGTAGTCGTGCTTTTAAAAATGACTAGTACACACACCTTTTCCTCTGGTTTTAATTTCTGACCTCTGCACAAAAGGATTGGTTTATTCTCAGCATGTGGAATTGAAGCTCCACATGTAAGGCTCTTTGCTGGTAATTCATATTTCCTTTCCTTTGTTGGTTAAAATTTATGTAATACTGAACTACATTATTAGTGATGCTTTTTGACATGAGCAGTATTCCAACTCAGTGAAACTCTGAAGAGCATGCTTGTGGCTGTTCCAGTTTGAGAATTCCATTGCCTTCTGAGAAGGCTTTGAGAGGAGTCTTGAGGCCTCTGTGCTGTCCAAGAGATAGCTGAGAGTAGCTCTCTCTTCCTAGATGGGAAATTTGTGTCCAAAACCATGTCCAGGAGTTGAGAATAGAGAAGTCTGCTCCTGCTACAGCTCTCTGTTTTGCTTGCCCAAGCCATACTCTCTCTTATGGGTGCTCTTGGCATCTCTCAAGAACCACAATGGCACCCAGAACTTCTATTTCAAGCTGGTGGAATTGCTGACCAGGGACTGTGGCTCCTGTTAGGTGAGTGTGGCATGTGGGTGTAGCACCAAACATGGAGTTCTGAAAGCAGTGAAAGTAAATTGCCCTTTTCTTCATCTCTGCTGTCTCCAGGAAGACACCTGCCTCCTTGCCTAGTGTGTATGCTCTTTAGGAGGGGGAGGGCATTAAACACATTGGAACTGGCAGAGAGGAAAGAGAAAAGACAAATTGTTTGTTCTAACTCTTACAGGCATAGACAGTAATGGAGGAACCAAGATAAGGCCCAGTAGAAGAGAAAAAGGCATCCTTTGAGAAGTTGTTTATAAAATTGAAAGTGATGGAAGATGCCAATCTCTTGCCTTTGCTCTAGGATTCAGGTCAAAATTGCTTGCCTTTGTCTTGCTTCAGCCTGTGAGAGCTTTGTTTGCATCTCTGACATTGGCTGTGGCCACCATCTTATATTTTTTTTTTCTTTGGGCAATGTTTTACCTCTTCTGAGAACAAAAATATTCTCTTTTGGAGCAAATAAATTTAACAAATCCCCTTACATGTGTGCATGTGTGGAAAGGAAAAAAACTTTTTTGCTGTCCATGGCCTCATTTTTCTCTGGGTTATGACAACTCCCAGTCCATTTCCCTCCTTCTTCTCAAGGGCTATTTAGAACTTGTCTTAAGCCATCAGAGACATGAAGAAGCACGCTGATTTGCCCCAGGTTCCTTCTTCAAAGCCCCTCGAGAATATTGTGGGAGGCTGTTGGGAACTAATCTTGAGTGCAATTCCCAAATTTCTTTGGGGCTTTTTTCTTTCGGTTGCTTTAAACTTTTCCTTTCTGTGAGTTTCATATCATAGCCTGTTTCCCAGCTGGCTTTCTCTGCCCTCTGCTCTCTGCTCTTACCTGAACAGTCCAATGCCACAGCCAATGCAATTGTTCAGTGCAGGTCCGTAAATCAGTGTTTGTGTAAGTGGTAGAAGATTTTTTTAAAAATTACTTTTGTTTGCCTCCCCTTTTGGTTTAACTTTTAATATACAGTTTTGTCCAAGAGATTATAAGGGGTTGTGAACCCACCTTTTTTTTTTTTTTTTTTTTTTTTTTTTTTTTTTTTTTTTTTTTTTTTTTTTTTTTTTTTCTTAGAAAACAAAGTTGCTTATTTACTTTTGTGGCCCAAAATTGTAGCTTTATGAAGAATACAAAATAGTTTTAGGTGTTTCATTCATATTACCATGTTTTATAGCACTCCTCTCTACAATGAGAAAAGCCATTTTCTTCCCTTTGCTGTTCTCAATGTTTCTCTTCAACTGTCAACTCTGAGATTCTTGCCTTTGTAGGGAAAAATAGATATGGTTCAGAATGGGGATTTTAAGTCACTAGGTTATGTTTACTTTGCCTCATGTCAGGCAACACTATGTACTGATACTTGAGCTAGCTTTAAATGTCCCTGTATCTGCATGGCACAGCATTAAAGATACTTACTTATGCCCTGGGAAGAGCAGAGGTTTGTTAGTTCAGTAATCCACCTGTTTTAATTAATTTGATTGCCAGGTTTGTTAGACCTAGACCTAGTTATCTGTGCAGAACAATATTATGCCTTGGATAGATGTGACTTGAAAGCCCAGCTTAACTTTGTCATGCAGAGATTCTGTGTCAGACCAGAAATAGCTGCCGTGCCCATCTTTGCAGCTCCTTTTGTCTTTCTGCAGTATTTGATTTCTGTACATGCAAGAACTTTACCTTCTGCAATCCTTTCTCCCTGGCACAGCATTCCAGAAAGAAGATGCTATCTTTCAAACAGACACTGAAAATATGTTTTTCTTCTGCTTGCTTATACCCCTCAGCTACTCTTCTGGTCTGCTATTATCTATGAACACTACTTATATTACTGAATTCTATGTTGAAATTTTAATGAAAATGCTGCAGAAAATAAAGATATATTTTAAGTTAAGAAAGGTGTAAATTATGCATTTCTCTAGTGTGGCTTTTTGGCTACCCTAAGATGGACAGAAACTTCACACATTCCAATGCTTAAAGACAAGGAAAAATTCCGAAAAGTAGACATGCTACCTATCTTACATTGCACTGAATTATAGTCAACAGAAACTAGGATGAAAACACATGAAGTTCATTCTACAGTGAGAGCAAAAAGAAATTAGCTTTAATATATTATTCCCTGATTTGATTGTTCAAGAAATAAATAGGATTTAAACAAAATTGAAAAAGGAAAATATGCCTAATGATGCAGAATTTTTGTTTCCTTGTTGTGGATAAAGCACTCATTTCCTGTTAAGAGGCTCCTATCCCTGTAAAAGAGTAAATACTAGACTCTGATCCATTGTTGCCCAGGTTCTTTGTTTCTCGGAGACAAAATATTTCCCGAACAGATAAGAGAAACAAGTTTGATTGACAGCTCTTAGCAGAGTCTCATCAGCTGCTGTGCTGACAGCCTGGTGATGCGCACTGTGCTGATGTGGTAGGGACTGACAGCTGATTGACAGCCCAAGACTGTGGAGACAGGAAAGATGAAGCATGCTCAGTAAGAATAATGTGCAGTGTTTATGCAGCACTGCAGAGAATAGGAGCTAGAAAATTAACTCTTTCAGGGAAAGTGCTATTTTAATGCATAATGAATGCAGTTGCCACTGTACAGAAAATTAGAGCTTGTCTACGTTTCTCTTCTGTTCACTAAATGATTTCTGTCCATGGAGGAACTATAATACTGTGAGGAAGCAAAAGCATGAACTATTGCATTTGTAGCTGTAAAATAAATTCATGTGTGGTAGATATGATGGAGTTCTCAAAATGGATTTATTTAAGCTTACAGATGTAGGATATATTGAGAATTTCAGGCACTTTTTATAGGCTTTCATCACCCAATTTTATATGACATTGCATAATGTTACACAGTAGAAATTTCAAAAGGAACAATTTGAGCTCTTTGCTCTCCGTATCCTTAGGAAAATATAGTGATTTCAGTTTTATTGTTACTTTGAATCTGTAGTTGATAATTGAATATGTATTTTCAGTTATAATTTCTACTGCAGTTTGTGTTTGGAATGTACAAGGTAACTATACCATGTTTTGCATTTTATGCCTCTTTTTTACATTTTCTCTACT